GTCCATGAAAATTGTATCTGTGGCTTAGAAGGCCCTTGTCATCTTGAGCATATTAATTGGGATTCAGGAAGGAAGGGAAGCGGTAGTCAGCCAGTAAACACAGCAGCCCTTGAAAGAATGTGAAGGGCTCACGTAAAGGAGAAAAAAAAAAAAAACCACTCCATCTGCGAGGCTCTGGGGCAGAACCTGTGGCAGGCTGAGGACGCTGGCGAGAGGCCTCCTCTGACATGCATATCAGCGGGAAAGCCTGCCCAGCCCAAGAGGTCCCCTGGAGGTGGTGGGGTCCCCGTCGCCAGAGCAACCCAAGCAAAGGCCACCACCCTGGACCATCTGCTAATTAAGTGACCCACTCATGGTAGTGGCCTTATCTGCCCGGGATTGAAGTTTCTTCTCTGAAATGGCATTGTCATGGAAATGTTCTGGAACTAGATAAGAGGTGATGCGTACCCAACACTGTGAATGTGCTAAATGCCACCAAATTGTGTGCTTTAAAGTGATTAAAATGGCACCTTTTACGTTGCATGCATTAGACCACACGCCAAAAAATGGATGGCGTCATTGCACAGAAGGACCTCCAAGTCTGCTGCTAGCTGTGATGTGTCCTGTTTCTGAGAGGGAGCACATTCACTTAGGGACCGATCACCACATTCCATTTAGTCACAGACAGGCCATGTTGGGGCACCCGGATGGCTTCAGACATGCGCCTGACTCTTGATTTCAGCTCAGGTCATGATCTCATGGTTCGTAAGTTTGAGCCCCGCATCGGGCCTTGCGCTGAGCGTGGAACCTGCTTGGGATTCTCTCTGCCTCTGCCCCCACCCCCCAACCTCCCTCTCTTAAATAAATAAAATTTTTTTTTAAAATAGGCCATGTAGACAGTCAATAGCCAACTGAAGGGGGCGGCTAATTAAATTATGGTTTGGCTTTAATACCGAATATTTCACATCCGTGAGAAATTACCTTCGTGAAAACGTGTTTAATGCCACAGGAAGATACTCTGGATGTGGGGCGCCTGGGTGGCTCAGTCGGTTAAGCGTCCGACTTCAGCCAGGTCACGATCTCGCGGTCCGTGGGTTCGAGCCCCGCGTCAGGCTCTGTGCTGACAGCTCAGAGCCTGGAGCCTGTTTCAGATTCTGTGTCTCCCTCTCTCTGACCCTCCCCCGTTCACGCTCTGTCTCTCTCTGTCTCAAAAATAAATAAGATGTTAAAAAAAAAAAAAAAAAAGATACTCTGGATGTAACTTAAAGTGTGAAAAGAAGGATTTACACTATATGCAATGTGATCCTAACTTCGTAACTATAGATAAGAAACCAAAACATAGTGGTCTTTATCCCTGAGCTGTGGGTGACAAATGATTTCGATTCTTTTATACGTCCTCAAAATGTCTGCAAAGAGCATGGATGACCATTATACTCTAAAAACAAACAAAAAACAACCCAACTATTTAAAATACAACATAAATAACAGTACTTTGGATTCTGTGGCCCACCCTGTGAACCATGCTGTGCTTTCTAACAGTAGAGGGGCAACGAACGAGCCCTGGTTAGAAGGGCTGATTTACAATCCTGGTTCAGCTGTGACAAACCTTGCTGGAGCTCGGTTTCTTACCCAGAACAGAAGGCATAAGAGTAACAGTCACCTCGGGGCGACTGGGTGGCTCAGTCAGTTAAGCATCGACTTCAGTTCGGGTCATGATCTTGCAGTCCATAAGTTCAAGCCCTGCGTCGGGCTCTGTGCTGACAGCTCAGGGCCTGGAGCCTGCTGCAGATTCTGTGTCGCCCCCTCTCTCTGCCCCTCCCTGGCTCACGCTCTGTCTCTCTCTGTCTCTCGAAGAGTGAATAAACATTAAAAGATAAAAAAAATTTTTTTTTTCAAAGAGTGACAGTCACCTCACAGGGCTGCGTGAAGAGCCAGCGAGGTACTGGAGATAGGACGGCTGATTGAAGGGTTCTCGGAGCTCTCTTCATTGTCACAGAGCATAGTCAAACTGTTCGTTTCCAAACCTTCCCTCGGCCAAAAACCTAATGAGTACTTAGCAAGTCAGCAACTGCCACTTCTCCAGTAATTTAAGAGCTAATTTCCAGAACACCACTACTCTTTCCTCATCTGTCTTCCTGTAACCTTCGTGTGGAAACATGTCATTTCACCTGAAAAGTAACCACTGACTTTTATGTACTGTCCTGAAATTCAAGGAGATGATGATAAAACCAGCTTAGCTGAAAGGAGATTGTTCAGTGTCCCACCCAAGAGCATGTGCTTCTCAGGAGAAATCCTGGTGAGATTGAGCATTTGTTTCCCCAGAACCATCCACACGACTGAACTTCAAAAGGGGGTTGTTTTCCTGGGGGCGCCTGGGTGGCTCAGTCGGTTGAGCGTCTGATTTTGGCTGGGGTCATGATCCCGTGACTAGTGAGTCCGAGCCCTGCACAGGGCTTGCTGCTGTAGTGCAGAGCCTGCTTTGGACCCTCTGTCCCTCCCCCCACCTCAAAATAAACATTAAAAAAAAAAAAAAAAAAAAAAAGAGCTGGTGTACAAAGCATCATAACCTTGGTATCTTACTTGAGGCATGGCTTGCCATTAAAAGCAAACTTGCCCACTTCAACAAATTCAACGAAACTTTTCACAAAAGCCAAAAGCGTTCCAGGTCCTGTAGAGATAGAGTTGAATGAGATGTGGTAAGAGGGACTGGTCTACAGACAAATGCAGTGGCACTTGACCAGAGGAACAAAGAAGCAAGTCCAAGGAACAGGAGTGGAGCATGGAAAGAGTCACTGGTGTGGTCAAGGAGACATCTGAGCTGGTTCTGGAAGTGGACCAGAAGAAATGTGCCGGGCAGCCAGGGCCAGGGGAAGACCTCAAAGGCCAAGGAAGGCAGGTACAAAGATACCAAGACGACCCAACTTGGTGACTGGTGGTGAGCTCACAAGTGGGAACACAGGGGATATGGCCATTTAATAAAGAAAATTGTAGACAGTGGCCTTGAGCTCAATACCATGTGACGTGGTTGGAATTTTCCTGGATCAGTCAGCCAGTTGGGCAGTATGTACTGACCAAGTACAGCCTGCTCAGGGTTGTCTCAGGAATGGATGCACACGTGGAAAAGGTCACACCTGGCCCTGGACCAGCTGTGGGCAGGACAGCAGGCAGGAGAGAGAGCTGAGCTGCAAGGAAGGGCAGAGAGAGGCACCAGCTGTGGAGGAGAGCCGGGGTGCAGTGGGCCCCAAGTCTCCGGTCCGGGCCAGACCACCTGGCAACAGGGGAGCGTGCAGGGAGCACCCCAGGCCTATCTAGGGGTAGTGATAGGAAATGAGGAGGGAGGACGGAGAAGAAATCGAGAAGGGCCTTGAGCGCCAGAATGAAAAGGATGGGCTTCATTGTAGGCACTCGGGAATCCCTAAAGAGTTGTAGTAAGGGACAACCCAGCCAGGTTTGCTTTAGAAGAGGTGCCTCAGGGGACACGGG